ATGCTTCCGTTCGGGGACGTAATTGTAAGTAAATGTAAATGCTGCCGGTTTCAACGAACCGCAACTCGTACAGCACATTAGGCGCGTGCACAAAGGACGCTTCAGTCTGTGCGATGAACGCTCGTAATTTATTATTTACATTTATATGAATAGCTTACATGTCGCGTCGTTTAAGGAGGAAAAACTTTGAATGGGGGTCGAAAGCTTGGCTGTGAGTTTCGTGTTTTACTTTTTGTGCACGCGTGCGAACTTTCTGATATTCTCTTGTACTTGGTTCATCTTCTATGTTTGCATTTAGAAGCAATGCTTATGTGGTAATTAATTATTTATAGTATGACTGGACTCATTATTTTTTATGTTTATCTTTTGATACATGCAGTTGTCTAAGCTCTTTGCTTATATGCATGGAAAATGAACGTTTATGACAAGTAGGCTTGAACATTGTTGGTAGATGGCGGCACTTTATTAAAGTAATTTTTTATCAATTGAAACTTATTTCTGCACATCGTAGATAGCATTATATGCCTCGAATTTGAAATTGCGTGTAGTGTGTTGTATTGGAATTGAGTGGATGTCACAGGGTGTGAAAACCACCCTCGGTTGGCAGTGACAGTAGGCCGTGAAAAAATGCGACACTGGCGGTAAAACGAGCGTAAAAAATGCGCGTACAAATAACGCTTTACATATATGATTACTTCGTTTTGTTTCATTAAATTTAAAAATCACATCGAATTTTCGTCTGCAGCTGAAACGCTTTCGGAAAACGCGAGGTCCGCCGAGAATATAAATTCGCGATGAGTGTGAGGGGGAGGCTTGGACCCGTTGCGATGCGGGTGGTGCGTGCGTCCACCCGCGCTTATATGCGTGCGCTCATTCGTTCGGACACATTTTTTAAATGAAATATCGGTGATATAGATGTGCGCAGCTCGGCGGTGGCGGCGGCGGCGCTGGACGTCCGCGAAACGCAAAAATAATTAAACATTTTTCAGGCATGCGGAAAAAGTTTGACAGACAAATAAAAATAACCATTTGAAATATGAGTATAGGAAAATGTGTGTACGGCCGCGCTTTTTTCTCGTTTCGCTGGACGAACGGACGAGGCGGACGGACGTGTGCTCGTGGGGGTGGGCGATCGGCGGCGGGTGGCGGATGGAGGTCCGCGCTATCCCACCTCCCGAAAAATGCGTTCGTCGTATTCGTATTCGTCGACCTGCCTACCGCTCGCCGCCGCCGCTGCTTGTTGTTGCCCGATTTTTATTTTTGCATCGCATTCTCTCTCCGCCTCCCTCCTCTCGCCGCCGCTCACATGCATTCGATGCACTCGCTGTGCGTCGTCCGTTCGATCCATCGTTGATCGCACAATCGCGCACGAGAGAAGCGGACGTATGAAATTTCAATGCAGACGCATTTCGCTCTTCTGCCACCCCTCTGCATTCGCTCGCGCTCTTTCCACCTTTTTTGCGTACGCACCCACCGAAATGACTTTACGATTTGCTTCGTTTTTATTCTTTTTATTTATTGAGCAATCAATAAATGATAACATATTGAATGTTTTTCCAGAATTTTTGCATACATCATGCGCCACCTCTTCGTCGCTATCGCCGCGCATCGGCGGGTGGTTGGGTGAGGTGGCGTTACGTTGATGCACAATGTCGATACGACGCGCGTTCGACATAATGGCAAACAAAAAATCGGACGTTTGTAGATTCGCTCGAGATATACTGCATACATTTATATACGTGTGTTGTGTTTGCTGTCGTATTTTGCAATAGGAAAACACATTTCAGTGTGTTTGTGCATAGAATCTGTAGAGTGTGAAGCGATGGCAGTGTGCGAAAGGTTCACTCGTATTGATGCACCATTCGAAACGTATTTGATTATCTCTTATTATTTATTGATACCGAGGACACTGTTCGGCAGCATAACCTAAATGTAAATTAATCGGTTGTACCTATCTAAAAAAAAAAAACACATACGTGCAATTTGCAATGAAAATCTCAATTTTTTAAACTTGCTCAGAAATTCAGCTCAAATTGCAGCCTGGATATTAATTATTAAGCGTGTAATTCCGGCCTATCCTAAATTATAAAACAACTCTCTTCATAGACGGGGGCGTCTGGCGTTTTGAATGCGACCACCTTGCCGCGAATTTTTGCGCGCGCGTCGAAGGGGGTTGGGCTGGCAACATGACTGACTGGATGGATGTATCGTCTGTCTAGGGCGGCTGTCAACAATCAAAGTTAGCGCCCAGAGGCTAAAGCGACAAGGGCTATATGCACGCTCCTCTCCTCTCCATGCCGGATCATCGTTAGATGGATGGAGCGCGACAGTTGTTTGTCACCGTTGGAGTCTGAGGTTGGCGGCGGCGATGGCAGCGAAGGGTGCGAACTCGCGCATCGCGTTCGCGCGCCCTCTCGTCAGACGCGCCATCGGTTGCCCGCGAGGGTTGTTTTTCAAGTTTTTTTTTTATTTTGCATATATCACCCCCGCCTGTCTATATTGATCCACTCCATATTTTTCCATACGTGCATATTACACGTGTAGGCACGGGACAGGCGGGCGCTTAGTATGATGTCTAGGACACCCTTTAACCTCCGCGCGTACACCCTCCGTATCGGCACTAGTGAGCCTACCGTGGGGCGCTTGACGCGGTCTCGACGTGATCATAATGAAAAATTATTGCAAGGTGACATTTACGTGCTTTTGTTCAGGTACTTATATTTATTACAGTTTAGTTGGTTTTATTGCTAATAGTGATATTCGTGTTTAATTTTCTCCTAGGTTCTTCTCGTGTTATAATTTATTCGTCATTGTAGTACTTATATTAACTATTGCGCGTACGAATTAGCAGCTCGGCACTCGCTTGCGATCAATACAATCAATGCAATACTTGGACGCGATGCGGAGTGAAAGAGAGGTCATGGGTTTATAATAACGGAGTAAGAGAAGAGCGTATGGCTCCGTCCGATATCATGTTGATTATTATCGCCGTCTCTTCATTCCACCGCGCAGCTCAAGCCTACCACGCCACACAGGCTGACAGGGAGGCAGACGTAGAAATTTCGATTTACATACGGCACTCGTGCGATCTCGGGGGTTTACACATGGTGCATGCTGCTGCGCCCCCTTCACGCGCATTGCAATTCCACCCCAATAAGTTATCTGGAAAACCACCCTCTTACCGCCCCACCGTTGCGCGCATTTGTAATCCCAGATCGGGGCCTCGTAATGTAATAAATGTACCGCATTGGATATTTGGATATTACTATTACGCATAACTAGCTAGATCTATCTCCACCGCCAGCGCATGTTGTAATGTTGTAAGTTACGGACGTAACTACGGGATAATATAATATTATTATTGTTGGTGTGTTTGCCTGTCAGCTATCGCAGGGCTATACCCAACCCAAGTATATTGGGTTGCTTACTGTTTGGTGAGACAATTTGAGGTGGATAGCTGATACAATGGAGTAATCGAGACCAAGACTGCGTCAAATGAAAGAACAAGGGTTGCCTAAGCTTCTCACTTATTGCACTGCCGGGAAGGATATCGCATACACAAGTGTGAATTTTATTGGTCATCGTTAACTAATGATATCATCAGGTGCACACATCTCCACAGCCTCAATGAGCGAGTTTATCGGCGTCTGTGGGTCATATCTTTTGCTATCGTCCTCTTCGAGTTGGGAGAGTGCCTTCAATGTGCTCCGAAATGATGTGTATGCAGATACATTTTGTCGTTTATGAACACAAACGTGGCGGGCATTAGAACGCTGAAACGGATAAAACTTTGCAAATAAATAATTATTGCCATGCGCTCCTTTACAATAGCACGATGGTACCATTTCATTACACGGTCTGGAGTGGAAGGCGTAAGATGCAATTTGTTTACGCTCGTGTCGTCCTGGATATAGCGATTTGGCGTTTCTGCGGCGGCTTGCATTTTCGCGCTTTTGAATACTCACAAGTCGAAAGAGACGACAGCCGCACACACGCGTGAACCAGCCGCGGTATGCCGCCGATGGTGAACGAGGGAAGTCTAAACTTGTTCCGTCCTCGGCAAACGCGCGCGGGAAGGCCAACGATTATTACTACGCTCATGATTATGGTTATCATTTACTTTTATTATTATTTTTATTATATGTAATTCAAACTTATTGCTATTACTGTTATTATTGCATATTGCGTACAACACACAAGCGCCCGAAATGCCTTGGGAGACGATGACGACCATCGACTGCTAGTCGACCGGCGACCATTGGATGGACGAAATTCCTTTATTTAGTTTCGCGTTAATTAAATTTTATATGTGGACATAAAATTCTACCGGATTTTCACTATTTCTCAGCAGCGCCAGAACTCCTTTTATTAGTGTAAAGTGATGCCATCTCTCGTTTGAAATCAGGTGACGTCAAGCGACTTGCATTCGTTAAAATATGCCGTCGATGTAAAATAACAACGGATTTGTATCTATGTGCATGTGGGCGTAGGTGTGTAAGAGAATGAAAAATCTACGTTGCTAAATTATTTACGTAATTTCCGGCCGATAGGCCATTTTCATGAATTTTTTCTACGATTTCGCTCTGATGTTGCGGCGGAATGGCGCTCAACAAAAAATTTATCGCGCCTCACTCCCGCACCTCCTCGCACTCGCGTATACGCAACCGGCGACATTCGAATCTCGCCCTTCGCCTCTCCCCTTGCTGGACCGTTCGTGCGCGACGCACAGGTAGATTAAATTAACTTTCGGTGCCCCATTGTCGTGTGCCTGACGCGAAGCCTCAAAACTACAACACGAGAGGATGCGTTCGACAACCGACAACGTGGAAAACAGTAAAGGAAAAAAATATACGCGAATGAAAAAGAAACTGACGAAAACGCGAAAACCAAATGTGAAAATCCTCTTTCCTCGTTGAAACATTGATGGACATCGATGAAATATTCAACAATTCTCATACCTGACCCAACCTTTTACATCACACATCGAGTAGTCGGTTGGGTACTTCATATCATCGTATATTTTTGTATATATTGGTTTTAAGGTTAAACAAAGTGCTATAGTTCTACAGATGTACAACTGCTGGAATAGTTTTCATGTATACATAATTCTTTTTCGAATAACTCATCTGATGTCCGATAGGGAATGCTTGATGTGCTGACAACACCAGGAAGGTGATTGCGATTGTAAAAATATCGGACCAGTTTTTGCACACCAGAATTGCTGGGCGTTGGACCATCGTTAATCCACCATTCGACAAATTCGCTGGTACACACATAGCATCCTTTATATTCCATGAGATTTCCGGCGGGATCTAATTCTAGGAGATGAGCTGGAACTTTGTATTTGACAGCTGTCAACTTGTCGATCAGAAATGAATGAGCACTGGTGGAAACCGATGTCTTTTCGCTGTTCTCAGATTCATAATCATAATACTCATTATCACCAACTGATTCTGAATCGCCAGCATTGCTTTTGTCAGGGCATTCTAACGTATCCAGCGTATTGCGACATTCCTTGGAGAGTTGTAAAAGATTCTGAAGTTCACGTAATTGAGTCCGAAATATTGTATAGTTGTCTGTTCGATTGTGCTTGCATCTGTATCGCGCACGTGGTTCTTCGTCCAAAGTGTTCACCTGAATTTGTTTGTGGTCATGCTCGACTTGATGTTTGGACGGAATTGTTGAAATTGAAGCCATGTTGAGTGTCCTGCAAGTTGTGGTATTAACTTTATAGGTGATCATGATGGACAAACACTAGAACTTACGAAATTTGATGATTATATTAATTTAGGATGTTCATGGGCCAAAATGACACTGTTTTCTGAAAAAGTAACTTCATTTCTGGGGTAATACATTGTATTGCTATGCGACGCATTTTGAGTAGGCAGATTGTTTAAATTGACGATTGTGTAATTTGAGGAAATGGTCCAAAAGAGAGGGGTCTCCGGGGGGTGGGGTCCTGCTTCCCATGCTCGCATTGATGTCTGATCCTAATCCGAGGGCCAAACATTAGCCGTGTTTGCGGTGATGCCGCTACAGCTCCCTAGCATTAGATGTATACAACAGAGGGACGCATGCGTGTGCGCGCATTGTTGGTGTATGCAATTATTGCGCTGTAATGTAATGTCACATTGCGCGGCGCTGTGTCAATGTTAACTATACCCCCGCGCTCAGCTCGTCCCTCGTTCCCGATGCGCGGGGACCATCGCATTGCGGCGCCTCAGCCCACGCGTTTGCACAGTGTCCCAGCTTCGTCTTCGGCATTAGAAACGCGTTCGACGATTCCCCGAACTGGGACAAGAACAGTTTGATCTGGATGTCTGGACCGCCTGGGCTACTACCGCCAACCAGACCCGAACGCACAAACGAAACATCGTTGCACAAACACGGCGATGCAAATTTGGCGCGGCAGATATGTGTGCGCTCATCTTTCGATGGCGGTGGAAAGGGGCGACGCACGTATCAGCTTGTATTTGCATACCGCATTCAATACCGTATTGATCACGAACACATGCAACCAACCGGCCAGGGCGTGAGTAAGCGTTTACTCTCTCGGTGATGCCGTGAATTATGGTCGTGCACTATCTATTTGTTTAGCTGATTAGTTAGTAACATTATTAGATCACTACCGATACCTGCTAATCAATTAGTTATTTATGTATAATCCCGGTGCTGGACGTACGCGAATGTGAGTGCATGTTGGTTGTTGGTTGTTGTTGGGTTGCATTTTGGGCAGTGTTACGAAATGCAACGACACGTAACGGTGTACACATGTCGGGCGGCTGCTGCGTTCACTTTGTATGGACGTGCAAACAATCGGTAGCCAATGTATCAGATGCGCACACACATAGACAGGTTTGGGCGGCGGCGGCTGCGATGCAAGCACACAATGAGTGCACAAACACTGGTTCGTTAATTTCAAGATATTGCCGCCATTGGAGGCTGGACGGTTGCCTGCGCGCTATGTGATTAGGTTCGATTTATTATTATTTCGCGCGGCGGCGGCGTCCGCCAGCGAGAATTTATTGCCCGGCCGAAATCTATTACAAACGCCCGGCTCTAATCTGTTTTAATCTGGTGTCGATATCTAATAGTAATATTCTATTACGATGCGCGATAGATGCCACTCTATCGCTTGTTTTATTACTTATTTACCAATGCGCACTGCCATCATAATTCCTCGCGAAATCCAACAACCACCGACGCGGTTTTTGAATGTGTTTGTATGCTGCGAGCGAAAGAGAGAGTGATGGTAAACTTTTGTTTGAGTTTTGAAAGGCCCGATGCACTTTCGGCCCAGTTTCGTCTTTATTAGACATTGGCGGCCGTTCGGGGCGCAATTTAGACATATCCGCATAGAGAATCGACGCTCCGTTCGCATAGAACGTATTCAATTAGTCTAATACTGTGGCCCGCATCGACGGGATGGCAGGCTGGCATCGGAACGCCGATGCACAGACGCATTAGTTACGTTGCTTCGTTAATTAGTTGATTAATTAAATGATTAATCAATTGATTGGTCTACCGGGCTGCTGTAATTAGTTTTAATTGAAATCCCGAGTCATTAACATTGGCGGCGGGGGCCGGCCGAGAGAGCGAGCGGCCGCCACAGCCACCGCCGCCACTGTGCGAAGGCTGATAAGCCTGTTCGGCATCCAGCCGAGCCGAAGAGAACCAACCGTCCCCTTCCCGAAACCGTACCCAACTATTCATAATAGATGCCAAGTTATGTGCGTTCGATCGATATTATATTATATTATGAATTGGTCAAATTAATCACATTTCCGCCGCCGCAACGCAGCGCACAAGTTTAATATTTTCAGATTCAAGGAATGAAAAAGCGTGAAACTTTTGATTAGACACGGATTTAAAGGAGAAATTGTGTTATTGATTTTGTTCGGCTCGTCTGTTCATATAATGACATTTTTTTACAAATTCGATAATTGAAATGACATTTTAAACCCTGATAATAGTTTCAATTATTTATTTATCGTGTTGTGTGAGTGCAGGTGGTTTTTTTGCATATTACTGAATTTATCTGCATTATGCACGCATGACGTGTGCACTCATGCAATTCGTGCGACATTGTATGGACAAAAGAAGGAATAATTAAATGTATCCAAATATTTTTACGTCCGGCGTGCGTCCACGAGTGCTGCCCGGCGGACGCACGGCGATATACTCATATGTTTTGGCCTGTTGGTGGAATTAATGCCGAATTTGTCTCGGAATTATATGGAATTTGTATAATATTCGGTTGACACCTGGACGACAGGCCGCATTTTGCGCTCGTTCGTCCGCACGCTGGGTTTCGGTTATTATTTATTAAATTGCCAGCGTGCTTTCAACATGTGTCATATTCGTGTTACGTTAAATTTAAAGCGCTATGCCGCGAATTTAATGGAATTAATTTTAATGTTTTTTGCGCGGCTGGCCAGTTTTTGGGTTTTTCATGTCGAGGATGTGGAAAATAAATTGTCGAAATAAATTGACGACACGATCAATTTGTGCCGCGTGAGTAATTTATTTAATTTAATTTGTTCAAATTGATCAACGATGATAAATCAAAATCTGCGCACGAAATAACAAATTGTTCAAATTCACACGGTAAAAATAAATGAAATAAAAATATATCATTAATTTCTATAATTCTGCAATGCTCAGGCAATATTTTACGATTTGTTTTTATTCCGTCTCCGGTTTACTTGGTTTACTTATCGATGTAATGAGCATGGGCATGGTCTGCAGGAGTACTTATTGTAGTCTCATATCGCTCACTGTAAACAACATTCAGGGGACCACCCCGATGCATGGTGCAATTGACGCATGCAGTTATGCTTGTCTTATTTTCTCTGTTTCGTTCTTTCAAGAACCATTCTCTTCGTACCAGCGAGAGAATAGAAAATATACACTCGCAATACTTCAAGCACATACTCACTTCTTCGGTTTGCTTTGCTCTAGTGACTAATTAAAGTACACACGTAATTAAACATTTCTATATAGAAATACTGACATTACAAGCATGAGACATTAAAACATAAGATTGCATGTTGGACATTACACAGTTCGAAGAAGTAATTCTCGTTCCACGACAAGTTAAACCAGACCACTGGGAAACTCACAATCGCTTGCAAAATATTGCATGTAAATGCAATTCGACTCGTTTCATGCGACGCTTTGCAAATTCGTTTTCGTTTCGGAGTCGATCAGCTGTTGCGGGGGCGCAGACACGCCGCCGACCTTGATGCGCGTAACCTCAGACGGTGTCGGCGCCCCCGCTCGACTCGGCACGGCGTACTTCCTCTGTCGAACGCCGCAGGAGTCGTGCGCGACAAGCGCTTTGACAAAACGTTTTCGTCTGGCTCGCGCGCTGGGGGAAGAGGCTCTCTCCCGCAGCGAACAGCTTATCGCTGCTTTCGCTTTGCTCTCTTTTCACCCTCTGCTGTCGCCGCCGCTGCCAACGAAATGCGACTAAGCTGCGAATCTTTTCGCCGTGCTTGCCCTTGCCCGTTTTCGTGTTCGTGTTTCATTGATAATAGCAATCTTCGCAAGGCTCCGATGCCGCTTTTACGCCTTTGCGAAATGTTCTACAAATTGTTTTCGACGCTCCCTTTAAGAACGTTTCGAGCTCACGCTATATGCCTACTTCTTTTTGCGCATACAACTGTTTTATTAACCTTATACATTCATATCCTTACCTAACATTTGGCGCGTGTTGTGATAAGTTTGTTTTCAATCACCCTGTTTGCTTGTCAGTCAAGCAAGAGCAGGTCGTGAGTGCGGAACATGTGGGAAAACTTGTAATTACTTCAGGAAAATTTTTAATTACCAATAAATAAATTACTCGTACATTTGATTTGATGGCTTCGCGCGCAGTCATATATAAAGCGGCGTAATAGTGGCGATGTTATAAGAGTAATGAGAGCGCACGAATCGCGTGATGCGTTAATTATAAACTTATAAGCCGCACAAAGTTTGCGCGCGCCAGCATGTCGTTGCGTTTAGTTGCATATTAGTAGCGACGTGAAAATCCGTGCGGAACTGTCACTCCGGGGGCAGCAACTATCGCAAGCATCATATCGTTTCATGCGCTATTAACTACTCATAAGTGTATTGAGCGTTAATTGTAAGAAATTCATGTTGAACAAATTTATCGATATTTTACAATCGTTGAGGCGCTCGTTTTGACAGGTACAAATTTGACGTTTATCAAAACGCGCACACGGAGCGTGTAAGTTACGTCTAATTTTGAACTTTAACACACGACGACACGAGAAATTATTGCACACACAGAAGCGGGCCTAATGGACTGCGCACCGAGTCTCTCGCTCATACTCGCCTACTCTTGGTCGCGAGAGCTTCGCTGCAGAAACGCACTAATCACATTAGCCGCGCCGTAATTGCTCTACCCCTTTGAAAGCGGAAATGCATCCATATCCTGACTGAGCGCGCCTTGTGAAAGCGCACATGCATTGCGCGCGACTGTGCTGTATGTGTGCATGTGTTTTTTTTTTTCTCTTCGCCACCACTACCACCAGAGTCTGAGTCGCAACATGCTGTTTAATGCATATAATTCGATTAATTCATTGTCAAATTGACTGGGATGTAGTTAGAAGACTGTTGTCTGCGACGGCAAAGCGTTGTCTCTCGACGCAGAGCAAACAGAATTACCTTCCATCCTCATACCACCCGGCTCCTCCACCGGAATGGATGGACAACTCAATAAGAGGCAAAACAATCGGAAGCGAGAAGCCATTGCGATAAACACGAAATTAAATAATCAGAAAAATACGAAATGATAATTCTATTTCGTTCGGGTTTTTCGTTCAGTCACATTGAGAGTTTTAAAATCCGGTGGCGAGGAGGGTGAAAAAGCCAACCCGATTTCGTTTTCCTAATCAGTCTCACGGCCATGCTGGAGAACGCTCAGACCAATGACGGTTCACGTCTTATTTCGGTTCACACCTTCGTCGGCTTTCTCAACTTTCATCCCTCAATTTTAAACAACCCTCACGAATTTGCGTGTTACTTAGGTGGATGAAATCTTCGACAAAATGGCAGGGCGCATACTTCAAGTTATGTCCTAGTCATTTTGACATCTAGGGTCTGATATTAGTTCTGGATATTACCACCTTAAATCATATTCAGAGAATTTTAGCGAATAGCAAGGGTGAACATTGGAGTTTTAGAAAATAAGTAA